CTGGGGCTGCCCGGAACCCTGCCCGGGGGTCGTGCCCGGCCGGGCACCCGGGCGTGTATCCGGGCAGAAGTTGGGTGCCCGGGAAAACAGCCTAGTTATGAATACAATTCTTCGACAAGCCCACTGCCTTGAACAGGGTCCACTGCTTGGGAACTACTGCACATACTGTCCAAGAAAATCCACTATTCCTGAAAAGAGCCGAATCTCTCTCTCTCTCTCTCTCTCTCTCTCTCTCTCTCTCTCTCTCTCCCTCTCTCCACGGAAAGTCATGCACAACACACCCCAGGAGGCTTGAAGTGTGTGAGCCTCTCCATTAACTGCAAAGATGCAAAAATTGTGTGAAAAGTTGAAACTTGAAAGCCTGTGCATATAATTAACTAGAATGTAATTAACCTGATCCCACCTACAGCCCTCTACAGTAAAATGGGTAGGTCAGGTCCTTTCATCATGGTTTGGCAAATTGACGATGAAGTCAGTCTCCACATCCTTTCAAAACAAGAAAGTCTTTGAATGATGTGATGGGCTCGTGATCGTCTCACTATCACGATAATGTGTGTGGACCGTACCGCTTAATTCCGCATTCCTTGGTTCCACCATCACAGTTCTCTCTCTTATGCTCCCTTCAATCTCCATAGCTGCCCCAGGAACGTATTGCTTCAGAAGAGGCAAGAATCTACGTAATGCCTCTTCCTCCTTTGCCGCTTCTTCAGCCGTCCTGAAGAAAAACCAGCCAGGAAAAGAACACAAAACGAATCCATGAGCAAACAGGATTTAAACGAAACAAGTTCTGCGAAAGGCAGACAGTTGATTAGACATGGGCAGCTGAACTGTCATGCTGTGCTATTTTTTCCTTGAAAAAAATGAAGTCATTTTCCTTTTCCGACCGATGCCTTCTTTTTTTTCCCTATTTCTCGATTTATGCGTGTCATCCTTGCGCAGGGGGCCAGAGCCACACTTTTTCTCTTTCCATTTTAACGAATGTCCCAAAGGACAACCGATGCTTTCAAGAGACACAAGATACTGTCATGCTGTGCTATTCTTTTGAGAAAGAACTGAGTCATGTACGGTATTTCCTACTCGTTACCGATAGGATACTTAGCAGACGACGCGTTCCACCGATCACCCACATGCAACTTTTAAATAGAACAAGACGGACCACCGCAGCTCCACCTCCGTGAATCAGGGAGGCTTAACAGTAATATGGGGGCAAAGCACAAGGAAGGCATTCGGTGGAATTGGGCAGGTCTTCAGATGAGAGAAGTGGGTACTCTAGATGTTTGTGCAGAAGGTGGGGAGGATCAGAAAACAGAGCTGGAATATAGGGGAGAGGAATGCCGAGAGGCAGTGAGAAGTAGGGAAAGATGATAACGATTAGGAGGAGGAGCGAGGTGTTCAAGGATGTAGAGACACACAAAGGACCAGTGGCAGTTTGAACACATACATGGGCAAGTTATGCAGAAAATAAGAATGTAAAGAACAGCCAGCACAGCTCCACCCACGTGAGCAAGGGGTATTGATGAAATTCAGACTAGTCTGGATGAAACATCCAATAGCATGTGAATACAGGAACTGATAAATGGGGATATGTTGGTCGGTAAAACAAACAGTAATGGTTGATTGTCTGCAAAAGAAAGCCGCAATATAGCAATATCTCAAACACTGCCACACCAGGGTTGCATAGCCGCTGACCGCCGACAGCGACTGCCGACCGTTTTGCAGCCAACCAGTAAAGCCAACCTCTCAGCGGTCTGCCGACCAGTCAGAAAACACATTCAAAACAGCCATCCACTGATTTTATTTCAAATCTGAATTGGGGGTTGTACTCAGTGTACTGCGCTTGCTGAGTACAGCCCAAATCCGCTGAGAAACTTTTGGGGATGGGGGGGATGGGGGGGGATAGGGGGGTACAGGGGTGCGATAGGGGGTATTTGGGACAGTGCGAGGATCAGGGTCCTCGGTAGGCCTATGGGGCCCTGCTTGCAGCATTACCCGCCCTAAGTGAAGGCGGAGGTGCCCGCCCTAAGTGAAGGCGGGCCTGGCTTTTTGCAAGAGGCCCTTGACTGTCAATTTCATATTTGGGGTCCAGGCAGTTGCGACGCGCCAGTTGGTTGAGAGAAACACAGGCCGAGCAACAAAGACATTTCCATGGCCCTCTGGGCCTTTCCAAAGAATGCAGGCCCTGGGCGTGATTCGCAGCCTCATACAGAGACAGTTGGGCGCCCAACCGAACGAGGCCCAGCAGCCCAGTAGCTGCTGTACACAGGCAGCTTCCTGGGGCCTTCCGGAAGCTTCTGGGCCCAGACCAGTGCAGCCAGGCTGCGCGAGCAGGCCAACTCTTTCCATAAAGGAAAGAGCTCGGCCCTGGCTGCCTCATTGAGGCACTCGCATGCTAGTGGCAGCGCTGCTGGAGCAAAGGGTCGCCGCTGCTGGCTGGCGCTGAGAGGCGAGGTGCAGCACGTGCGGTCGTGCAGAGGAGGAGGGCGCTGCTGAGGGCAGCGCCATAGCCCAGCCACCATAGCTGGTGGGCTTGGACTACAGTGAAGCGCACGGGTGGTCTTCGGGCGAAAGAGAGGACAGGTGTGGGTGTAGTCAGGGGATAGGTGAAGGATGATGATGATGATGATGATGTGAGGGCACTTACCTTGTATTGGCGGTGGTCTGCATGGGCGACATCTTCAAGTACTTCGGGCTGCCGCTGATGTCAACAGTTGCATTGTCTTTTTGTAGTCCGTAGTAGCTGTGAAGGAGTAGGCTGGGCGCTGAGCGCCAAGTGTGAGTGTGAAGGAACTGGACTCTTGTGTTGGGAGGAGAGAGTATGCTCTCCATGAACATTGGTTTTCAGTGCTATGAACCTCCATTGGCGTATTATTGGTGCAACGCTGCTCTCTGGACACGGTGTGACTATTTGGCTCTCAATGTGATGGTGTGATCTGGACTTGTCATCTCGCTGTTACTTATTTTCCTTGCAACAGCATGAGGGTGTTGGGGGGTGGTTGGGGGGTGTTGGGGGATTGTGGGGTTGTTGAGGGCAGGCATGGGGGTGTTAGTGGGATTATTGGGGGTCATGGACTCCCAAAAAAAACGAAAAAAAACAATTTTGCAAGGATGTGGCTCCTCGACAGGCCTGAGGGGCCCTGTATTCAAGTGTGCCCGCCCTAAGTGAAGGCGGGACTAACAAATCACGAGAGGCACAATACTGTCAATTTCGTATTTGGGGGCTCAGGCAGTTGTGTCACGTCAGTTGGTTGGGGAATCCAGGATCCGAGCAGCAAATACTTTCCACGGCCTTCTAGGCCTTTTCTGAAATGCAGGCCCTGGGCCACATTCGCAGCAACATACTAGACAGTTGGGAGGCGTAGCTGAACAAGACCCAGCAGCAGCAGAGGCCCAACGTCCTGCGGCCTACCGGAAGCTTCTGGGCACAGGCCCAGCCCAGCCAGGCTGCAGGCCAGGCCAGACTCTTTCCATATACGAAAGAGTTCACTGCCTGGCAGCTCATTCGGGGACTTGCCAGTTTGTGGCAGCGCTGGAGCGATTGCTCGTGTGCTGCTGCTAGCGCTGGGGCAAGGTGTCGTGTGGGAAGAAGTGCAATCAGACTCGTTCTTATTCACACTTTTCATGCATGTAAACAGCAGCGCAGCAAACTGGCAACATGCACCCACTCAAAACTCAGAGATATGACATCCAGATACGAGTTCACTTCCAATTGGCTATGGCGGCTCAGCACCCAAACAACTCGCTGTTCACATACACCGGATCACCCTGGATATCCCACACGCGTCACTCTGAACACTCACACATACACGCACACACTCCACACTAACTACAGCTATGGCAGCTATACTAAGCTCCTCCTCTCTTGCCCACTGCGTCCTCCGGGCTCACTGCAGACCTCCTTGCACAAGTCGCTGTGGCAGCGCTTCCGCATGGCTCCCGCAGGAATGAATGAAAGGCTGGGCGCTGCCTCTTGATTTATACTTCGGAAACTCGTTGGTCTGCCCTTTGCCGTCGGCCCATGGTGCTCACAGTCCCCTGTGGTACTTGCTGGACCAGACTGGGACTGACTGGACCTTACCGCTGACTGACTGTGGACTCACTGCTAACCTACCGTAGTCGTACTGCAATTGCACTGCAGTTTAGTCCACCCTTGACTCGCCACTTGACCACTTGCCCACTTGCCGACCTTCTAGAAGGACTACAGCTAGACTTCTGGAACTCGCTAAGACTTCTACTCTATAGACNGCAGTGATAAGGCATTGGCGTTGAACGTTAGGCGGCCCAGGGTAGAGTGGGCGCGCCAGGGAGCTATGTGGTGACATACGGGATGTATGCTGGATCATGAGAACTCGCTGATGTGGCATATTAAGCTGAGGTGGAACCGCATTCTGCTGTTGGTTGTGCCGAGGCAAAGACCGGTCATCATAATTGCACATCAGGTTGCCGGTGAGAAATCTGTGGTTGGGGGCAGCATTTATGAGGTACGTTGCTCTCTTCCTTATCTACCCTCTTCATCTCTTCTTACCGTGAGGAAGTGAGTTCTGTCTTGAGAGTCCTCTCGGTGTGAGGTGGCGCGAGCGCTCAACCTTGAGAGTCGACATTCTTCCTGGGCAGCAAGCTGGTGGGAGACGGGCGAAGCCAGTGAAGGGCCCTGGACGAAGCACTCGGGTCACGGTCACCATGCCAACCCGCTGGGACTAGTACACGCATGCTTGGGCTGCAAGTCCTTGGTTCTGCTGCTTGCGCAATAGAGGTCGTGCAGGGCATGCCAGCCTTTTATGAGACGCTTGCCAGACCGTCTATAAATATTTCTGGCTGGGGACTCGGATTGAATCTGGCTGTGATCGTCGTCCTGACTGCGACGTTAAATAATTCCTGAGGAGATGGGGGCTCTCCTTAAATCCCTCCTGATCAGCCAGATCAACCGGGTGTAAGGCTCGTTCCGTACGAGGATAAATAAGAGTGGACTGGCTGGCATGTTCGGCAATGACTTGGGGCACAGGGGTGGGCCGGATTGCACACCTTCAGGCACGCTGCTCAACCAGATGCTCAGGAACATTGACACAAAGTGACTACTCAAGAAGGATATAGGGGGACGGGGGATTCCGGTAACTGTTCACAATGGCAATCAACTATCAATCTGCCATCCAGTATACATCTCCAACAGGAGATGTTATTTTTATTTTGATTATCTAGTTGTTACAGACTTGACTAACAACTGACAGACAGCTACAGACAGATTAGATCTTTGCTGTTGTGCAATCTGTTCCAGGGTAATCTAAAAATAGAATTAATATATCTTGTAGGACCTGACATTAGTTGTTACTATATCACCTAACTGTTTCTGTTCCAGCCGACCGAAATTAGTTGTGGTTCATAATCGGTTGTGTGTCAGGCTAAGGTAGGATTCAATGTGGATTCTAGTTTAGATCACACACACTCTAGCTCATGAGTGATGCAAGCACTAGTGAGGAGGAATTGCTAGTGGACGACCGTAGGACAACTCGCGGGACTGCTCGTAGTCGACCCTTGACATTCTTGGAGTTAGGTCTAGGAGACGAGAGAAGATTGCGGAGAGAGGCTAGAGAGAGAGCAGCGGCAAGGAGAGCGAGGGCAGCTGAGGATAGTGCCAGGACTAGAATTTCAGCTAGTACCGGTGCAACCATGGCTACCTCATCCATGTCGCAAGCCTCTACACAGTCCACTTCGTCGGGAGTC